GACACACACAGACACAGACACTCACACACAGACACACTCAGACACAGACACTCACACACAGACACTCACACACAGACACACTCACACACAGACACTCACACACAGACACACACACACAGACACTCACACACAGACACACTCACACACAGACACTCACACACAGACACTCACACACAGACACACTCACACACAGACACTCACACACAGACACACACACACACAGACACACTCACACAGACACACTCACACACAGACACTCACACACAGACACACTCACACACAGACACACACACACACACACACACACACAGACACTCGGGGGTACGGGTTAAATGTGGGAAATATACCGTATACACGTGGGGAGAACTCACCTGAGACTGACTGCACTCCCGGAGCAGAGAGGGGGAGAGGGGGGGGAGGGGGGGAGAGAGGGGGGGGAGGGGGGAGGGGGGGGGGGAGAGAGGGAGAGGGGGAGAGCCCTGAGCTCAGCGGCACACGGACTGCACCTCATACATCTCTGGGTCTCTCTCTCTCTCTGTTACTGAGCGGCTCCACTGCTCACACTCAACACCGGGGGCAGAGAGGGCAGTGGGGGGCAGTGGGGGGTAGTGGGGCAGGGAGGGGGCAGTGGGGGTAGAGAGGGCAGGGAGGGGGCAGTGGGGGCAGGGAGGGGGGCAGTGGGGGGTAGTGGGGGCAGGGAGGGGGCAGTGGGGGGTAGAGAGGGCAGGGAGGGGGCAGTGGGGCAGGGGGGGGGCAGTGGGGGGTAGTGGGGGCAGGGAGGGGGGCAGTGGGGGGCAGTGGGGGCAGGGAGGGGGGCAGTGGGGGGTAGAGAGGGCAGGGAGGGGCAGTGGGGCAGGGAGGGGGGCAGTGGGGGGTAGTGGGGGCAGGGAGGGGGCAGTGGGGGGCAGTGGGGGCAGGGAGGGGGGCAGTGGGGGGTACAGAGGGCAGGGAGGGGGGGCAGTGGGGGCAGGGAGGGGCAGTGGGGGGTAGAGAGGGCAGGGAGGGGGGCAGGGAGGGGCAGTGGGGGCAGGGAGGGGGGCAGCGGGGCAGTGGGGGGTAGAGAGGGCAGGGAGGAGGGGCAGTGGGGGGCAGTGGGGGCAGGGAGGGGGGCAGTGGGGGTAGAAGGGCAGGTAGGGGGGCAGGGAGGGGGTCAGTGGGGGCAGGGAGGGGGGCAGTGGGGGGTAGAGAGGGCAGGGAGGGGGGCAGGGAGGGGGGCAGTGGGGGCAGGGAGGGGGGCAGTGGGGGTAGTGGGGCAGGGAGGGGGCAGTGGGGGTAGAGAGAGCAGGGAGGGGGGCAGGGAGGGGGGCAGTGGGGGCAGGGAGGGGGCAGTGGGGGTAGAGAGGGCAGGGAGGGGGGGCAGTGGAGGGCAGAGAGGTGAGGGGGGGCAGTGGGGGGAGGGAGGGCAGGGGGGCAGTGGGGGGCTGGAGGGGGGGCAGTGGGGGGCAGAGAGGGCAGGGAGGGGGGGCAGGGGGGGGCAGGGAGGGGGCAGGGGGGCAGTGGGGGGCAGGGGGGGGGCAGTGGGGGCAGGGAGGGAGGCAGGGGGGGGCAGTGGAGGGGAGGGCAGTGGGGGGCAATTACTGACACCAACACCGGACTCCCTTGATGAAACGCTGGATGTTGTGATATGAGGCGCTCTGGGGCGCTCTCCTGCCTGAGGGCGCTATATAAATGTTGTTGCTGTTAATATAATAATATAATAACAATCGTTGTGTTGGATACAGAGCCTCATCACCTCTTCGAGACGCCGCAAAAAGCGCCTCACGGACGGCGCTGCAAAGTGCTGTATAGTTCGTGGGCGAAACGTGGCAGCGAAGCGCCCACAGCAGCGTTCCCCGCAAACAGCCGTGGATTGAGTGGGGGTAAAAACAAAAAATATTACTCGAAGCCAATATTATCCCCGGAAACGTGATCCGCAATCGACTAACGAGGCTTCCTGTTTCACTGTGAAAGCCGGAGACACAAAGGTAACCGGTTCTAAAAGGCTTCAGGAGGAAGGGCTGCGCTTGGCTTTCCTGTGCCCTCCGGGCGCTATCCTTCTCCGTAGTTAACACACTGCCAACAAACGCTCAGCCGCTAATGACTCCAGGCTCCGCAGACACCAGCAGACCCTGGACCGCTGCCATTCTACCTGTCAAACCTGTTCCGGGAGTCACAGGACTGAGAATAATACCTGCACTTTGCGGGATTTTACCGCGAAGCGTAACAAAGGGCTTTGTAACCGAAGGCGGAGGGCAATGTGCAAACGGCAATGTCCCGCGAACAGCCTTGACGTGAATGACTGATTTTATTTGGGGGAACTGTCAGCCAGGACAAGGCAGAGAAATTCCCTTCATGTCTTCCTGAACAGGCGGAGGTGATGGGGTCGTGCTTGAAGGATGGCCATCTCCGACAATGCTCTGAATTGTCAGCCTGGGCTGCGAGCTCGAAGTTTGGGGATTATTGTTCTCAGTGGGGTGGAGAGATAAAGAGGACTAATCTGTCCCACAGAGGAATGCACTGACACCTGTGGTTTGTTATCCAGTCTTTACTTAGAGGTTGTGGGGTCAGTTATAAAGTTTTACATGAGTTCGGCAGAGATTGGACAAATCCTCACTGACTAGGAATCAGCTCTGGGGCCTTCCAGTTCAGTATCGTCCTTTATTGATCATCATCATCATAATAATAATAATAAAAATCCTTGCATTTGATATGGAGCCTTATCACGTCTTCGAGACGTCTCAAAGCGCTTCACGGGATAGCCTGTAAAGTGAATCGACTGTGTCTTTTGTGGGCGAAGCGAAAAATAATACTTAATCCTTGCATTTGATGCTCATGTCCAAAACAGCTTTGTTCGTTTAACGTCACGTCTGGAGGACAGCACCTCCGATAATGGAACGACAGCCTGGCCCGTGGCCTCGAAAGTCCTGACGTGGGGCTTGAACCCACATCAGTACGACTCAGACCCTGGTCCCACCAACTGAATCAGGCTGACACCCGGGCTGCGGGACGCTTTTTAAGGACAGAACTGGAAAATAAGAAGAACATGCTCGGGCGAGAGAAGACCAGGTCCATCCAGTTCATCTTCCACATGACGGAGCGTATAGAACACAGGAGCAGGAGTCGGCCATTCAGCCCCTCGAGCCTGTTCTGTCATTCTATCAGGTCATGGCTGATCTGTGCCTCAACTCCATTTACCCACCTTTGGTCCATATCCATGGATACCCTGACCGAACAAACACCTATCCACCTCAGTCTTGAAAATGTCAATGGATCCAGCGCCCACAGCCTTTTGGGGGAGAGAGTTCCAGATTTCCGCTACCCTTTCGGGTGAAAAACCCCCTCCTGATTTCACTCCTAAATGGCCCAGCTCTCATTTTGAGATGCTGCCCCCTTGTTCTGGATTCCCCCACCAGAGGAATTAGTTTCTCTGCAGCTAACCTGTCACATCCCTTTATTGCTTTAAACACCTCAATCACATCATCCCTCAAACTTCTGAACCCAAGGGAACAGAGACCAAGTTTATGCCACCTGTCCTCATAATTGCAACCCTTTAAGCCCTGGTATCATTCTGGCGAACGAAAACACATTCCGTCCACTGAATTTGGGTCTGATAACTGGGAAGGGGTTGTGATCCGTTGGAATTGTGACTTTGGAGCTGAATTATGCTCAGATCAGACTGAGTGTTCCCTGATATTTGGCCATTAACGTGACTGAAAAGCCACGTAAGTTGCCTGAAATTTCTGTTCAGGTTTTTTTTCCCCCGTGTAACAGAAGCCAAAGTCAGTTAGGATTACTCTGCAGTCAGTCGGCCTGTAGGGATCTTATCGTGAAATACTTTCTGATTTGCTGCCAAAACAAGCGAGCCAGAATTAAGAAAACACGGCATCAATTTTTCATATTTCATAAATATCGGGAGGGCTGAGGGTAAACATTCAGTTGCTATTTTGCTGCCGAGACTGGCTTTCCACACAAAGCCAGTGTAGTAATCGTAATAATCCTTGCATTTGATATAGCGCCTTATCACGTACATCGTCGAGACGTCTCAAAGCGCTTCACAGGATGTACAGATGTGGCGAGGTCACATAATAACATGTGGCTTTATTCTCCGAGACAATATCCCATGTGAAGGGCGCTATTTAAGTTTAAGTTGTTATATGCAAGAGACAGAGAGCTGCAGAATATAATACAATAATAATCTTGATTCTTAATTCAGCACTTACAACGTCAAAATATATTTTACAGTGATCCCTGTGAAGTGATAACAATATTCCTTGCATTTGATATAGCGACTTCTCAAAGCGCTTCACATGATACACTGTAAAGTGTGTGAAGACTGTGTAATTCCATGTCAATTCTTTCTACGTGGGTTATTGGTTCCTTCGTGTTAATGAGTTTGACCAAGTGACCGGACATGTGGTAACATAGGGCTATGAAGACCATGGACCATTGAGGATTGACTCTGCTCTGGACACAAGTGGATGCAGATGGTTATCAAGCGAGACATCAGCGTTAGAATTAACCAGCCTCTGTGCACGGCAGGAATCACTCGCTCACTCACAAACTGTGTGTGGTGGGGGGCGAGGGAGAAATGAGCCCCCTGCCCGAAGCCTTTTTCAAAGCAGCCATGAGGGATATTGTACAGCCTGCAATGCGATCACTAAACCAAACCCACAAGACCCCCAGTGACTGTGAGATACACCATGCAGCTATGTCCCCACAGTGTAGCCGGGGATGGATTTGAACATAAACCCATCAATAATAATAATAATAATAATTTGGTCACTTAATCCACGACTGTTTGTAGGACGCTCCTGGGCGCAATCAACTGCTGCGTTTCGCCCGCAAAATATACAGTCAATTCACTTCACATTTTGCAGCGCTTTGAAACATCTCGAAGACGTAATAGGGCGCCATATCGAATGCAATTAATATTATTATTATTATTTTATTATCAGATATTCCCACCGCTGACCCTGTGTTAGAAATGAAATGAAACACCTTACCGTGCTCCGTGTCACACTCAGCGATACCGAGGGGGTCTGGAAACGGGACACCTTTTATTAATAATAATCCTGGTATCTGACACAGCGCATTATAAGCTCAAGAAAGTCTCAAAGTGCTTCGAAAAGTTTCCGTGAGATATATTACGAAGCCAAACTCAGCAGCCAGCCAACTTGCGCGCAGCAATGTCCCACAAACAGCCATGAAGTGAATGACCAATTTTATCGAGGTTGGGGTGGGGAGGTGGGGGGGGGGGGGGTCGGGGGATGCGGGGATTGTTGGCCACGATGAGGGGAAAGAGGAATTCCTTTCTTTTTTTTGGAGAGTTCCGCAGAGATATTTGACGCCCACCTGAACACAGGGCACGACAGACCTCAGACTAACATCTCACCTAAAGGACATGGTTCCTTCATGTTAATGAGTTTGATGAAGTAGCCAAGGTGTTTCGACACTCATGAGAATAGGCTATTCGGCCCAATCAGTCTATGCTGGTGATAATACTCCACACACGCCCCCACCCCTCCTACTCCCTTCTCCTCTGTTCCCTTCTCTCTCATCTCTGCCTTTTTTTGTTGTTTCAGTCGCAACCGTCAGCAGCGAGTTCCACATTCTCACTTCTCTCTGCATGGAAAAAGTTCCTCCGAAATTCCCTGTTAATTCCCGAATACTGGCTAACTTATACAATATAATGCATGTATTTACGTTGCGCTTTTCACATCGGGAGGACATCTGAAAGTATCTGGATTCACCCACAAGTCGAAACAGCCTATTTCCATCCAACTTATTGAATTCTCTCATCATCTCAAACACCTCTCTCACATCCCCTCACAATGACCTCAACTTGCCCAATCTTTTTGGACCTCTTATCTAAACCCCCGACCCCACGATCACTCCCCCTTTGAAGATCCTCAGCGAGAATTCTCCCTCCACCACAGGTCATCAACATCAAGGGAAGCAGCAAAAAAAAAACTTCCAGTGCGTCATCGAGCCAATCAACAGAGAAAATCCTTTCATCCTTATCCACACGCTATAAACTTCACGTGATTTCAGCAGATCTGCTTTATCACCGCTTTGTGCACTCAAAGTCCAGCGACACCCATCGACAGTGGAAACAGTGAAAGAAATCTCCCCACAAACTCTGAGCTTCGTGCCCGAGAGCAACGTCCAGCGACCACGGTCCTTGCTCAACTGGTATCGACCGTTCTGACAATTGTGACAGATTAATAATAATAATCCTTGCCTTTGATGAAGGGAATTAATTGACTGTATATTTTTGTGGGCGAAACCCAGGGGCCAATTGCGCAGAGTAGAATCCCACAAAGAGTCATGGAATCGACAAGAGAGAATTAACTTGAGACTTGGTTACAGATTAAGAACACGCCTGGCTCACTCGTCGCCCAGTTTAAGATCTCGCTGTCGTAAAGAAAACAAATAGACTTCCCATTGTGGTCCGATAGGTTAAATATTTTCCAAAGGCTCCCAGATAAAGCATGAACTCAGCTCTGCAACTCCACTGAATGCAAACCAGACCAAGGGATACTAAAGACCTAGCAACGTCCCATAGCAACGTCGAAGTGATATCGTTCAACAAAAGCTCCAGCCAAGCAAAGGCCAACTGAAAAATTTAGAAAGAATTTTTTTCCCCCAAGTGTCGGCGGCGTTGGGGGGGAAAAAAAAACATCTCGAGGGATCACAACAACTCTCATTTATTTTGATTTGCTGAGGTGGGTGTCTGACCCGCACGGAAACCCATTGCTTTGCTTAAAAGTCGCCAAATCCGACTGAGAGTTCCTGATACTGTAGACTGTGCGAGTTCAAGCTTCAACCTTCTAACTCAGAGGTAAAATTGCTAACGACTGAGCCAGGCTGCGATTAAATAATAATTCTTGCATTTGACATAGCGCCTTATCGCCTCGTTGAGACGTCTCAAAGCGCTTCACAGAATACACTGTAAACGGCAGTGACTGTGTTTTCGTGGGTCAAATGTGGCAGCCAATTGCGCACAGTGTTGACCCACAAACACTCATGGATTTTTGGTTTGGAGGGATTGTTACCCCCGGAAAGCAATCCGTTAGTTAACTGTCAAGCGGGTTCCTACTTACTGCTGGACAAACAGAGGCATATGGAGTGAGGAAATTTGCCTAAGGTTTCGCCCCGTCTGGGAATCGAACCCATGTCCTCTTGCTTGCGAGGCGGTTGCTCTAACCACTACGCAGAAGAAATGTTAGCCAATTTTCCTTACTCGACACCCCTCTGTTTACACAGCAGTGAGTAAGAACCCGGTTGTTAGTCGATTGGCGGATCACTTTTCCGGGGTAGTAACCCCTTAAAAAAAAACAATAATAATAATAATAATAATTTGGTCACTCAATCCAAGACTGTTCATGGGACGCTGCTGTGCGCAATTGACTGCCGCGTTTCGCCCACAAAATATACAGTCACTTCACTTTACAATATATTCTGCGAAGCGCTTTGAGACGTCTCGAAGACATGAATGCAAAGATTATTTATTATTACTATATCTGTGCATCCTAAAGGATTGTTCCGGGTTTACTTTTTCATTCCCATTTTAAAAGTTATGCACCTCATTGAGGCCGACTTCTCTCACACCAGAAGAGCCTGAGCTTCATATCAAAGTAGTAGCACCAAAGGAACACAACAGATGGAACAGCCGAGAAATCCTCTCACACAAAGAGACAAATCATCTGAAATGACCAAATTATTTTCGTTTCAATTTCTGGTGAAAATCGATTCTGGAGCAGAATTGGGGGAAGTAAAAGCAAATGGGTATATAAATGACGGGCGCAAATTAATGGTTGGAGGCTTGGGAATAGCGGAAGGGGAACGAGCTGAGAGGTGCAAAGTGCAGACGAGAGAAAGTGGGCCCTGAAGCAATTCACAATTTGAATACAATTCGCAGACTTTTGTGGGCGAATTTAGAGTAAAATCCTGTGGAATGCTTCGAGACATCCTCGCAAGAAGTTTCAATAATAATAATAATAATCCTTGCCTTCGATATAGCGCCTTAGCACGTCTTTCAGACATCTCACGGTCTCGCACTTCACAGAATATATTGTAAAGTGACTGTATGTTTCGTGGGCGGAAAGCAGCAGCCGACTGCACACAGCAGTGTCCCACAAACAGTCGTGGATTGAGTGACCAAATTATTATTATTAATTTGATTTTTTTTGAAGGGATTATTACCCTGGAAAAGCGATCTGCCACTCGACTAACAACCGGGTTCCTATTTACTGCTAATGTAAACAGAGGCGTGTGGAGTAAGGAAACATTCCCAATGTTTCGCCCTGTCCGGAAATCGAATTGTGCTGTATTGTAACTTGCTTTGCCCAACCTAAACTGCAGAAATACATTCATTACACACGGGAGACCAAAAAGTCCTGATACCATTACAATGTCTAATAAATCTGAAAGAAACAATGATATTTTGTTTTTGTTTTTATATAATAGGGGAGATATCACAGCTTCTTAGTCACCCGTATTAGTGCAACTGAGAACAAGGTTAGGTTCAGGTTTGAGAATACTTAGACGTCAATTACAGTTTGGATCTATTCTTTTCAGACAACTGCACTAAAAGCATTCCTTGGTGTCACCTCCGTGAACCGGAAAAACCTGCCCCAGAACAAGGCCGTCTCAGAAGGTTCACGCACTGTTACACCGAAAAGAGATTTGTTCAGCTCCTGAGGAATGCTGTACACATCACTTCCCTCATAAGAACATAAGAACATATGAAATACGAAAAAAAGGCTAGTTTGCCTTCCAACTTCCCGGCGGTTGCACGCACATATGCCCCGAACTACCTCTGCACTATATCCCTTAATATTATTTCCTAAAAGAAAACTAGCTGATCTGCGCTTGAAAGAATCAACACTCCTTGCTCTTCTTCAACCGTGTCCTTAGGGAGCCTGTTCCACAGGTTTACTACTTGCTCAGTAGTGAAATTCGCTCACTGAAGTAGTGTTTCTTTTTTGTTTCTGCGACCTGTGGGCCAACCTGTTGTTTGGCAGCACTCGCTCCACTGGCTCAAACCCCACGCTGGGACTCAGGATCACACAGTCTAAGCTGACCCTCCAATGCAGCACTGGGGGTTTGTTGCATTGTCGGAGGCAGTGTTCTTCGGCTGAGACTTTAAATTGAGGTCCCAACTGCCTGTTCAGGTGCATGGTGAAGATCCCCAGACACTATTCAAAAAGAACTGAGAGTTTCTCCCAGTGTTGTTCCCCCCAAATCCTCCTTGGGGTCTTCTTGGAGCTGAACTGCCTCCAAGGTGACATGTTTGGTTAGGGAATGTCAGAATCGAGCCACCCCTCTGCGGAGGTCTCGGAAGTCTTGTTCCTGAGCCAGGCAGGTCCGCAGTATTCCAGGGCGCTGCTGCTGACAGCACCCCAGCCTGGCTCATGGACAGAACCTGGAAGGGCAGACCAATACTGGGGGCAGGGAGTCATCCCACTCAGCTCCTGTTAAGCCAAAACCCTAATGGGTAGAGTGGTCCTCGCTGGACAGGCAGCAGGAAAGCTTACCAGACAGCAATATCAATGGCAAGCTACGCAGTCTTAATTGGCTAGACTCCAGCAGTTACTCCAAAGAAAACTCTGGGATCCCCAAGCCTTGGCTCCTGCCAACCTGCGCCTAATACTTTCCGGAATTAGGCGGCAAATTATTACTGAAGTGATGTGTGTGAAAGTCTGGCTCTGCACAAGGGCACTTAGTCCATTAACCTGAGTGCAGTCTGGTCTTGATACTAAGGTATTAACCCGAAAAGCAAGTCTTGACACATTGAGGGCACCAATTCTAAGCCTGACCTCTCCCTTCTTGGCTCAACCAGTAGAAAGTACTGTGAAGGGACTAGGAGCAATGAACCTGGCTGATTTTATCCTCCCTTGTCCTGGGGGAGCTGGGGCTAATTTAGCTTCTCCAGGAGCCCAGAAAACTCAGCATTGAGTAGCATTCGACCCAACAAATTCTCAGACGCTAAGCTGCAGATCTCTCCACTCTACAGTCCAGCCCCAGGTACATAAAATCCGTTTTGACAATGACGAAACAACAAAACGACATTTATATAGCGCTTTTCACATCGAAAAGACATCCCAAGGCACTGGACTGTTAAGGGTTTGCATCCGAGCTGAGGGTTAGAATCAAGAGGGACTGAGGTGTGTGGAGGGGGGGGGGGGGGGAGGGGTGGCCGAAAGCACGATCAAAGAACAAATTAAATGTGCTTTAATGGTATGAATCGTACCCGAGCAAGAGAACACTGTACAAAGACACAAAATGTTCCAGGCGGCAGAAACCTGACCACTTTCAGGATTACCAAAAAGTTTTATTCTTTGGTTAAAAGAAAAGCGTTGCCGTGGCGACGCTCTGGCTTTATTGAGAGCGCAGAAGGCTTTTTTTTTTGGGTGGGGGGGGGAAAAAAAAGCAAGACACTGAAGGCATTGAGGACCATAGGGCTCACATTACTGCACTGTGAAACTCAATGCTCTCCATACAGCCCAAATGCTGCAGACAGTGATGTGTCTCAGTAAATGGCTCAGAGACTGGCCGGCCAAAGGACATGGTGCCAAAGGACAATGGGCTACGTCCATCTTGTCTTGTTTCTTAAATGACTCCAGTGTCCTGGCCTCAGCCACCCTTCCCGGTTGGTACCCCCATTCCTCGCCGTCAGTTAATCTTAATTAAGAGAACCTCACTCTGTGGCCACAAATTCATTAAACAATGATTAAAACTTAAGACAAAGAGGGCGTAGCCCAAATGAGGGGTGTGGCCCTGGTGAAGGAGGGGTGGCCCTGGTGAAGTGGGCACGGCCCTGGTGAAGTGGGTGCGTCCCTGGTGAAGGGGGTGGGGCCCTGGCGATTGGGACTTGATTGCACTGCAAAAAAACAAGGTCCACGTATCCGGCCCCTTTCACCGAGGAGACGCCCTGATGTGATTTACGGAGTCTCTGAGCGGGAGCCGGTGCTGGGTTCGGGGAAGCAATCAATGACCTCGCATTCATCGTAATTGTACAGCGTGTTCAGGAGCAGAAATCCTGCTGTTCCCCATCCCCATCGCAACAATAAAGCTCCTGTCAAACACGCATGTACGTGTCCAGTACAAGATCTGCCCATGAGACACAGCAAAGCCTCGCGCAATGTCGGCATAATCACGTCAGCATTTTATCAACAGTGACAATAAGAATCCCTACAATGTCCTTTTGGTGTAGTTGTCCTTCATGTGGAAAGGATGTCTCAGGATTGATCGGTAAATGGCATGAGACTGTATTTTGCAGGTGAATATTCCACAAACAGTCTCGGGGCGAATGACCGATTTTTTTTCCGGGGGATTGTCGGCCAGGACTCCGGGAGTGAGAGAGAGAGCGAGCGAGAGAGAGCGAGAGAGAGAGAGAGAGAGAGAAACTCCCTTCCCTTTTCCAATAGCGTCGCGGGATCTTTAATGTCCGCTCGGTTCAAGTTTCATCCGACGGACGGCACCTCCAAACACGCAGTACAACCCCAGCTCTGCATTGGAGCCTCAGCCTGGACGCGGGACTTGAACCCACAACTGTCTGACTCAGAGGTAAGAGCGCTACCGACTGAGCCAGGCTGACGCACGTCAAAAAGCGTTCACGTCTTCTGAAACGAGCCCCAGATTTCCAACACTCTTTCTGGATGATATTCCTTCACCTCTCGCTTGGATCACATCCCACAAATGCTCGACGCTCCAAACACCTTTCGGACTCGTGAACGGAACACATTTCCGCAGTAGAGCCGCAGAATTCTGCCTGGCCCGAGCCACAAGCCCTAGCCTGCTGGGCTGGACAATTTCTGCACGATTTTGTGCCACCTCAATTTCTGACGACAACAACAACAACAACAACAACAACAAGATTCCATTTATAGAGCGCCTTTCACGTCGGGAGGACGTCCCAAGGCGCTGAGACAACTCGGACGGGCCAAGACTGGGTGCTCAAGACTGGGCGATTGTGAGGGCAGAACGTTAGAGAGAGGAGGGGGCTCGGGGCGGGGAGGAGAGTAGCAGGTGGGACGAGGGGGTCGGGAGGTGGGGGGAGGGGGGGAGGTGGGGGGGGGGCGGCGGTGGTTGGGAGTGGGGTAGGTGAACCCTCCGTAGGAGGAGACCGGCTTGCCGAGATGCAGGCAAATAACATTAGAGACTGATTAGAAGCTTTGCTTTCCCCCGGCCCCCCCCAACCACTCCCCCACCCCGAACGCCACCAGCCCCACCCCGTTCCATCCGTGAAACGCACTACTTAGGTGAACGAACACAAACACAATACGAGCGCCCATTTCAGAGGCTGCCACACACCGCCCCCTCCCCCCCCGCTCGCCTGCCCGCGCTTGATGGCTCATGCACAGCGCATGCGTAAACTGCACAGAAGCAAATACTGACCTTGAAACTCCAATAGTTTGACTGCAATAATAAAATTAAAATATGGATCAGTTATTGATCGGTCCTCCCCCTCCTCCCCCCTCCCACCGCCACCCCCACCTTTGCGCATCCGTCACATTTGCGAGACAGAAAAAGCCACGAGTTTCCCGAAATGAAGCCCGCTTTTTTTTAAAAGCAATAAACTCCCCCCGCACACCGACCCCCCCTTCCCCACCCCACGCCCAACCCCCCACTTCCCCCCCACCTCAAAAAAAAATCCGCTGGTTAAAGATCATTTCATTTAAAGGGGCACAGCCTTCAGAGAGCAAGAGGATGTTTTATCGGGGGGAGGGAAGGGGTGGGGGTGGGGGGTGAGGGGTAGAAGAGGGAGCAGGAGTGCGGGAAGCGATGTGGGCGGTGACCTAGTGCCCCCTGAAGTCATCCATTTTTTTTCTACCGTGGTGCACTCCACGGGCCACCTATGTCGGAAGCCATTATTATTATTATTATTATTATTTATATGACGATTACGGGCAATAGCGTCGCTTGCGCTGGCTCCTGGGTTGGCGCAGGCGAAGAACGAAAGCGACAAAATAAAAACGGCAGCCCCCAGTTTTGCACGAAGACAGCCGTGACCCCTTTAAGTCCGTCTTATATCTCTCTCTCTCTCTCTCTCCATAATTTGGTGCTGGTTTTCGTTGGCATCTCCGCCAGGCGCACCAGATGGAGCTGCACTGCGTGTGGACGTTGCCCTGGTTCTATTTTCAACACCGCGATCCAACAGCTCTTTTTTGCAGATCAAAAAAAATCTTGAAGCGCCCCCCCCCCCGCCACCCCCACCGAATAACTCCGCAATTTTGGAGACACATCATTGTCTTTGATTCAGAAGACCTGAGAATAACTTGGTTTATCTCCGCGCTCCTTTAGAAACCCCTGGCTCCAAAATGAGGGTGAACTGAAGACATTTCCCACGTTGCCTACATTTAAGTTCTTAAAGACAACGGCGTTCAGGGTAAGCGAGGGGGCAGGAGGTGCTGTAAATATACGGCAAGGCTGTGTGGGCAATGTGGAGTGTTCAGTATAAAGCACTCCCCTCTCTCTCTGTTTAACACACTCTCACCAGCATGTCCAAGCCGACATAGTCTGGTCACGAAGCTCCTGCTCCACATTATGAACCAGTCACGGACACCATTAAATCGAGCTGCGTAGCTTGTGCGGGCACCGACTCACGCACACAGGTCATTGCCACCGCCATTCCTCAGTGACCATGCATCGACACGGCCAGAAACCCATCTCCGTGCTTACGAGCCTCCAAACCAAACGAATCATGTGTGGGAATCTCCCAACGTCTGGCGTGCAGTGCAGCAGTCTCTCTCTCTCTCGCTCTCGCTCTCTCTCCCCGGAGGTGCACCCACCAATTCCCGGAGGCTATCAGGTCGGTGAGAGACACGGCTTGGGGGAGACCCAGCTGGGAGATAACAGCTGGAGTTTAACCAGATATTAAAAAAATGCATAGCTTACCATCGAGAGACCTGCCTGGCTTTCCTACTGCTTGTCCAGCTCGGACCACCCGTACCCCATCAGGGCTTTGGCTCACAAGGTTAACAAGAAGAATTCCAGTGATTACAAGTTGAGCCTCGCAGTGCAAAGCCCCCTCCCCCTCCAACTTGTGGTATTTCTTAACAGATTTCACACATGAATGAAACAGAGACCTGGGTAAAGCTTTCGGGGCCCACACCGGAGGCTTCAGGAACTCAATGAAACTGCTAAGCACCGCCATGGAAGACGTGACTGGTTCAGAGAGAAGGTGGGGCGGAGAGACTGGCCTGGACTTTGCCCTCAGTGAACGTTCCCTTCTCGCACTGATGCATCCTGTACTGCTGAGAAGATTCCAGCCACAGGAACGCCATGTTCTGGACCAGGGGCCGTCTGACATTTTGGCAGCTGAGGGCCGGACGCCCTATTTGAGAAAAGTCCGTGGGCCACATAAACAATATGGCTGTGCTTCCCCTTCCAGAAACATAACATAACATTGACGGTTATGGAGGGAGCGGATGGGCCGGATGGAATGGAGGGAGGGAGGGAGGGATAAATAATACTAATAATAATATTTGCGTTTGATATAGCGCCTTATCACGTCTTCGAGACGTCTCAACGCGCTTCACAGGATATGCTGCGCACTTTGTGGGCAAAACACAGCAGCCAATTGCACACAGCGACGTCCCACAAACAGTCATGGATCGAGTGACCATATGATTGTTATTTTTTGAAGGGATTGTTACCCCCGGAAAAGCGATCCGTCAATCGACTAACGACCGGGTTTCTACTTACTGCTGGTAAACAGAGGTGTGGAATTTTGTTGTTGTTGTTGTTGTGCGTGGAGTAAGGAAACTTGCCCAACTGGGTAGCCAGTGAGAGGCCCCAAAATTCCACCTAGTCTCAGCCTGCGGGACCATTTGCAATGCAATGCAATGTAAGAGGCAGCAGAACAGTTCATCATAATCATCAGAAGCTGTGCATTTGATATCTCACTATCACATTGGGAGGACCTCTCAAAGCGCAACACAGGAGGCACTGTAAAGTATAGTGACTGTGTTTCGTAGTTGAACGCACAGCACTGCAATGTCTCGCAAACAGCCATGAAGTAAGCGATCAGTCTGTGACAGCCTGTCTCGGAGCTTCCCCCCACCCACACGCACACACACACGCACACACACACACGCAAACACACACACGCCTGGTCAGTAATATTTTTTGCAACAAAATGATGTCAAGGTCGCAAAGAACTTAACCTCCAGTGACACACACACACACACACACATACATACAAACATACAGACACACACATGCGCACACACAGACACGCACACAGACAGACATGCACACGCACGCACGCACCCACAGATGCGCGCGCGCACACACACAGGCACACGCCCACACATATGCAGACGTGCACACAGACATGCATGTTCACACAGACACGCCTGCACGTGTGCACACACACACACGCACGCACGCACGCACGGGTACGGAGAGAGGCACGCAACGATACAGAAACGCATACACACACAGACACGCCTGCGCAGACATGCACGCACATAAACACGCACGCTGCACACAGACAGAGACTCGCATGCACGCACGCAGATACGCACGTGCGCACAGACACGCACACCTCAACACAAAATACTAATTGTTTTGATTTCCCCTTTCCCCCCCCCCCCCAACCCCCAGGTAATGCTGAATCAACCGACCTCATACAATTGGCTGCACATCTTGAGGTGTAGGGTGGGGGGTGGGGGAGGGGGTTGTTGAGGGGGGGGTTTGAGGGGGAAAACATGAGAAGGCGTGTCATACGGTGGTGCCCCCTCCCATGATAACAATAATAACATCTTATCACAATGTCGAAACATCAGAAAACCCTTCACAGGATTTACCGTCAAGTGCAGTGACTGTATTTTGAGGGCGAAACGCAGTGGCTAATGTGCGCACAGCGATGACCCGCAAACAGCCATGAGGCGGTTGACGCATTATATCTGGCAATCGTTGGCCGGGGAAACCCGGAGAAACTCCTTCTGTTTTCAAACAGCGGGATCTTTAAGGTCTCACCCCGAAGACAGCGTCTCCAACAATGGCGCACTCCCTCAAGTCCGTGTCGGAGAGGGTATCAGTCATTTCTTGATTGAATATTTCCTGCTTTGTGCCACCAATCAAGAAATATTCAATCGAGAACATTTATGTTGTTTGCCCGACCATAAAGGTTGGCCGCCACTGCTCCAGAAGGTTCCAACTGAGATATCTCCCCTCCGACCGTGTCTTCCTGAGTAACAGTGGATGCCCGACCTCTCCTGACCATCTCCAAACATTCAGTGTTGTTGTTGTGTTAAGTTTCTGCCACCAGCAAAGGGGGGAAGCCATCGTCACTGTCTGTCACCATTATACAACAAGGTGGAAACTCTCTTTAGTCTTAAAAATTTGCACTGGTCTGAACGCCGTTCGCCCTCTCCCTCCCGCCCGGGTTTTGAAAAGAATGGCTCACGGTAACTCACACGTTGGGGGGGTGGGAGAGGGTGGGGGGAGAAGGGGCCCACAGAAGGGGTTGGGGGGGAAGCCCAGATCAGGAGTCTCTGGCAACTCTGGGAGCCATTGTCTGATTCCCGTTTCTCAGAGAGACAGAGAGCGAGACACAGAGAGAGAGAGAGAGAGAGAGAGGATGGAGGGAGAGGGGGGTAGGGAAGGAACGCAAGAGAACGAGGAAGAGAGAGGGAAGGAACACAAGAGAGAAGGAGCGAGCGGGAACGTGAGAAAGAAAGGAGAAAGAAAGAAGAGAGAACGCGCGAGAGAGAGAGAGAGAGAGAGAAAGAGTAGGAATTGGGATAATGTCGCTGCAATCATCCAGTCCAGTCAAAGGTCAAAGAAGGAAGAGCAAAAGTCCTTGGATTTGACCCTGTTCCGCACCTCAGTGAAAAGTTCTCAAAGCGCTTTGTCTCGGGGGCGAGCGTCTTGTGGGCAAACACACACCGGCTGTCGCGTTCCCCCGCAAAACACACACTCATGACACTTCACAGAAAAATCCCACCAAGCACTTTGAGACGTTTCGCTAATGTGGTCGGGTGAAGCCAAGGCTTCGAAAGCACCGCATCAGACGCAAGGAACATTATTATTTTAACATCAAAAATATACCCCCTAAAAAAGACATCCGTTACGCCACACAGATCACCAGAAATGTTTTAAAATATTAAAGAAATTGTCACATCGTTAGGACTAATGGACACTTCATACAGTTCGCGCTGTTCAAAATTTCAGTGATTGCGTTTTTTTTTCCCCAAAGGTAAATTCTGCCCCGAAATATAAACTGGTGCGGTTTTGGTGATTTAAACGCAGCAAAATAATGTGAATGTCACAACGAAACTGTGAAATATTTTAGCAGCACATAAATCCTAGTTTCTCCCCTTCCTTTCATACCCTACGTATTCTTAAACCTTTCCAATGCGCTTCACAAGTAATTTTGCCCACAAAACGCAGTCAATTCCCTTGACAGTATATTCTGCGAATCTCTTTGAGACGTCTCAGCAATGTGATGAGGCGCCGTATCAAATGCAAGGATTATTATTATAATTAGGGTCGAATGTAGTGACTGTGTGTTTTGTAGGTGAACGCAGCAGCATGAAGTGAGTAGCCAGAGAAACTCTCTTCTCCTTCTGAATAGCGCCACGGGATCTTTAACGTCCACCCGAACAGGCACAGACGGGACCTCGGTTTAACGTCTCATTGTTGGCCGAGCTTTCAGCCATTATATCTCCAGCTCCCTGAAAGCATCTTCCCAAATCCATTTGCCTTGTGTCCTCCCCCCACCACCCCCCACCACCCCCCCTCTCTCTCTCTCTCTCTCTCTTTCTCCCTGATGTCAAAACACGATTCCTGAAAAAAAACTATTGCGTTGGCCTTGTGTCTGGTCAGTCGGGCAGTGTTTCCCCCACTACCCCTTCTCCCCGCTTTGCCCAGCGACCTCATTGTCTCTGTTACACACTCGCAGGCTCTCTCCTGGCTGATAGACGCACACGTCCATTAGGGGAGTTTCAAGAGGAATGTGGCCAGGACAGAGACATGAACCCTCGAGACTTGAAGGGAGTGTAGGGATGGAGCGGGGCAGTGGTGTTGGATGGACAGACAGCTTGCTCCGAGCTGAGAGACGACGTAGACTCGAAGGGCTGACTGAATGGCCTCCTTCCGCACCGCAATATTCTACAATTCTACGATAATCTGACCTAGACGGCAGCAGGGATGAGGAACCTACCATCTTGCCCGTTCTGGCTGGCTTCTTGCCACCCTTGTATTTACTTTAAACCTCTCGCTTTAATAAATCCTACACTTTTGTCTCAGAGACCCATCGAAGTGTATCTCTCGAGGTCATTGTCTCTCACAGAACTGCCACCAGAGTTGCTTAGGAACATTCATTACCCGAACACACTGCCAACAAAAGGGAAGCTCACAGCAGAGGGAAGGCCCTTTTGTGCACTTTGTGCTTCGGAACTTTATTGACACTTTGGGTTCAGGAACTTATTGCCCCATCCCAGAGCCCTCCTCCTCCTCGCCCCCTCCCTTGCCTCCTTCAAGGCCAGACTCAAGACCTTCCTTTTTGGCCGAGCCTTTGGTCATCTTCCCTCCCCCACCCTCCCCTCGAGACCAGACCAGCCGGGAATATTGGATGATTGGAGCTTTCGGTGTTGAACGCTGGAATGGAGCGGTGGGGAAACAGGGAAAGGGGGTAGCGATGGAGGAAGGAGGGAGGGAGATGACGGAGGGGAAGGGAACAGGGGGAAAGGGGCAGGGGGGGAACTCAGGGGGGAGATGGGGAAGAGTCAACCTCCACTGTATAGACATCGCTCTGAGGACACGAGCCCCCATCACGGCCCAGTCTGATTTCAGGATCCTCTCTCTCATCTACAAATCCCTTGGTTCCCTGACACCTCCTTTTCTGACCTCCTTTCGCCCACTCCACCACCCGCTGCCTCCACTCGGCCTGTCCCTCATCCTCTCCACGTGTGTGCACGACAGTGCTAGGCACACCCAGCGCGCACACACATACACGCACACACACACACACACAGACACACACGTGTGTGCTGGTCATTTATGTGAGACTGTTTAGAGTCTGTGTGAACACCTCAAGCTGTTTACCACGTACAGGAGCTCTGACCCCTTTTGTGACGACCAGTGAAGCCCGTGGACAGAGCTTTACTTGCGGACTACACTGAGTGACATTAATTAGAAAGGAAATGGACGTTATGGAGGTAAATGTGGCAGCTAACTTGGACCACTGACGTCCGACCAATAACAACGAGGTGAGCAGCCAATTAAATACAATTTTTGAGGTGAATTTAGAATAATACTGTAAAAGTGAAGTGAATGTGTATCTTTGCCCAGAAATCTGGAGGATTGTTGTCCAAGACACCGGGGCAAACTCCCTTCTCTTTCCAAGAATTATCCAGAAAAAAAAAATTGGGATTGACTCCAAAGTTGTTTTGTTGCATTGCTGTTGTGCAAACTTGGCTGCCACATCCACCTACAAAATATACAGTCACTACATTTCACAGTCATAGCTGTGAAGTGCTTTTTGAGACGTCCTCCTAGTATATTATTAGTGTAAGCGCCTTGGGACGTCCTCCCGACGTGAAAGGCGCTCTAGAAATGCAATCTTGTTGTTGTTGTTGTAAACAGCGCTGTATCAAATGTGAGAATTATATGATGAGGACTGACACTGGAACACTCAATTTAACACATGAGACTCTGTTATTACACAGCGTCTCATAACCAACACACTAGACATTGGGTTACAATGGGCCCAACAATCCTACTTCCTGGTCATCAGGTCACTGAAGAGGTCACTTTCTTTGACCTGCACCTATAGGCAGGGCCTCAGTCAGAGGTTTGTGGTCAAGGCTGACGCTCCAATATACTTTGAAACCGAACTCCCATCTTTGCCTGTTCAGTTGGACGTTAAAAGATCTCGTGGCCTTCCTCAAAAAGAGAAGGGAGTTTCTCTCTCTCTCTCTCTCTCTCTCCCGGTGTCCAGGCTGACAATCCCCCAGATAGCATCGGTCGACAACCTCATGATAATAGATCTACTTCGTGGATTA